GGACCAAAGTTATAATACCATTTCATGCTCATGAAAGGTATAAAAAGCGGAGACAAGAGAAAGCGGAACATCGAAAACCCACACCAATAATACAGGGAAAAAATGTTTTCGATGTGGTAGCACTGCACATATAGCTAACAAATGTGTGTACAAAAACACGATCTGTCATTTTTGCAAAAAGAAAGGACATTAGCGCAAAGCATTCTTTAAAAAAAATCGACAATTAAATAATATAGACGGTGAAACAAATGAAAAATACGTGTTAGTCGACGAACTATTTCAACTTGAAGATAATCGTAACCATCGGGATAAAATCGAATGTGACCTCGACGTGAGCGGCGCCAAAATTCGTTTTGAAATTGACACAGGTGCCTCAGTGACAATAATTAGTTTGTCGGACGCGAAGAAATATTTTGCAAAATTGAGAGTGCACGCAACTGACAGAGAACTGTACAGCTACTGCAAAACGCCACTAAAGTGTGTTGGATATATCTGGGTCAAAGTTGCGTCAGCTAATGACAGTTCTTTGGTAAAAATGTATATTGTAAGGTCGGATAGGAAGCCATTGGTAGGTCGCGAGTGGTTACGTCAAATTAAACTAGACTGGCCAAAAATGATGAGCGAACAATTGAACTATATACAAGAGAACACGGTTATGAATGAGGACTATGTGGGAAGGTGGAAGAAAAAATTTCCGAATTTATTTTCACCTTCAGTAGGCAAAATAACCGGCTTTCAGGCACGGCTATACATGAAGCCGAATGCAACCCCTAAATAGTTTAAGCCGCGACGCGTAGTATTTCCACTGTGGAAAAAAGTAGAAGATGAACTGGAAAATCAGGTCAAAGAGGGTTTGTTGGCGAAATTCGATAAGGGTGAGTGGGCCACGCCGATCGTCATGGTACCAAAAAGCGATGGTACGGTACGCATCTGTGGGGACTACAAGGTGACGGTAAACCAAGGTTTAGCGTTAGATGAACATCCCCTACCTACAATTGAATAGCTATTTATTAAGATGGCTGGGGGCGCTAAATTTACAAAAATCGACATTTTAAAAGCATATTTGCAATTAGAGGTTGTACCTGTAGACAGACACTTATTGACACTAACAGCACATAGAGGACTTTATCTACCTACTCGACTGATGTTCGGCATCGCATCGGCGCCAGCAATCTGGAAGCGGTTCATCGATCAACTACTTGGAGACATTCCAGGGGTATCGATCTTCTTAGACGATATCAAAATAACAGCGAACGACGACACCACGCACAATAAACGTGTAGAAGAGGTAATCCGAAGGTTAGAAAACCACAACATGCGCATAAAACCTGGAAAGTCCGAGTTCATGAAAGACTCCATAGAGTACTGCGGCTTTGTCATTGACAAAGCTGGCATCCATAAAATGAAGTCCAAATATGAAGCAATTTTACAAATGAAGACACCAGCCAATAAAGAAGAATTACGCTCATTTTTGGGTTTAGTAAACTACTACGGGCGTTTCGTGCGAAATATGAGCAACATGTTTTACCCTTTAAATCGTTTATTGAAGAACAATGCCCAGTTTAAATTTAATGATAGGTGCAAAAATGCTTTTGCCGAGGTTAAAAAGCAAATGCAGTCCGACCTAGTGCTTACACGCTATGACCCAAAAATTCCGCTAGTGCTAGCGGTAGACGCGAGTCCGATCGGGGTAGGAGCGGTGCTTGGTCACGCATACAAAGATGGATCGGAAAGGCTTTTGCAATTTGCATCCCAAACACTCAGTGCCGTTCAGCAGCGTTACAGCCAGGTGGATAAGGAAGCGTATGCCATAATTTTTGGCGTACGTAAGTTCTATCAATACTTGTATGGCAGGAAGTTCGTATTGGTAACAGATAACAACGCCATATCACAAATATTTTCGCCCCAAAAGGGGCTACCAACAATGTCAGCAACGCGAATGCAGCATTACGCTATATACTTGTCACATTTTGATTACGAAATCCGAACAAGAAAGTCCAAAGAAAACGCAAACGCGGATGCATCGTCGCGTTTATCAAGCCAGGAAATTGACAACCGTTGGGAAGAAGTAGATTTGATCGAACGTAATGGAATCGAAAACTTACCGGTCATAGCGGCGAACCTTAGTGAAGCGACAAGAGTAGATAAAGAAGTCGCCAAATTAATCGAATGCCTGAAATATGGGCGAGAATGTGAACCCAAGGAGCGGTTCGGAATAACTCAAACAGAGTTTACCTTGCGAAACGGCTGTTTACTTCGTGGTGTACGCGTTTACATACCACGACCATTCCGTGAGAAAGTACTAGCTGAACTACATACTGCGCATTTTGGTATGTAAAAAATGAAAACACTAGCGCGGGCATATGGTTGGTGGAGTGGTTTGGACAAAGACATAGAAGCGCTTGTATCTGGCTGTGTTCAGTGTCAACAAGTACGCGCAGATCCAAAGAAGGTCCCAGTACATTGCTGGATGCAGCCAAGTAAGGCATTCGAACGCGTTCATATTGACTATGCGGTCCCATTTTAGGGAAAAAACTTACTGGTGCTAGTTGACGCCTACAGCAAGTGGCCAGAAGTCCATGTAGTGACAAACATAAATGCAGAAACAACAATTCAGAAGTGTAAAGAAATTTTCGCCCGTTTTGGTGTTCCGAACACCTTGGTAAGTGACCATGGGACACAATTTAATTCTAGAGAATTCCAAATTTTCCTGAAAGAAAACGGCATCGTCCATAAACAAGGTGCGCCTTACCATCCAGCGACTAATGGGCAAGCTGAACGGTTTGTGCAGACGGTGAAAAATAAATTGACATCAGCGAACTGCACCAGCGCTAATTTACAGAGTGAGCTATGCAGAATACTTCTGGCATACAGAAGGGCTATACACCCAATCACTAATAAATCACCTGCCATGCTAATGTTCGGTCGTCAAATACAGTCACGTTTAGACTTGTAGCTGCCAAGCAACCATATCGGAAGTACTCAAAGAGAGGTAGAAGTGAAGAAGTTTAGAATTGGCGACAACGTAGCTGCGTGTGACTGCATGAGTAAAGAGAAATGGAAGTTTGGAAGGGTGATCGCAGTGGAGGGTCAGCTACATTATAACATAAAATTAAACGATGGACGCTTTTGGAAGCGTCACGTAGACCAAATGCGAGCTGTTGGTGAGAAAGCACTTGAATCGGCAGTAAAAACAAACAATGATCCGGAGAGAAGACAGGAGACAAGTTTTTCAGAATCTGTTGAGTCAACAAATCCGAAAACAGGTACGGGAACGAATGAGCCGACCAACCCACAGAAGAAACGAAAGGGGAAGATGCTATTGGGACAGACCAAAGAACGCAAACGGCAACTGAACAACCACGACAAGCATCGAAAGAGGCTCTCTTGCGCCGTTTTGAGAGAATACGAAAAATCAAAAAAAGGAGAGATGGATAGGTATACATCAATGAATTAAAGAATTGAAGCAAAACTAGAAATGAATTGAGAATAGGAAAAATTACAATAATTGTAGCATAGTCTGTATGTATGTAGTTTGTATATGAGATACGAAGCGCATTAAACTGAATTAATCTTCTCCTTCTCTTCTTTTTTGGCGCTGTAACTGCCTTAGCGATTTTGGCCGAGTTCAGCAAAGTACGCCAGTCGTTTCTCCTATGTGCCAACTGACGCCAAGTGAAGCCAAGTCCTTCTCCACCTGATCTTTCCATCGCAGTGGGGGCCTCTCTCTAACTCTGCTACCACCAGCGGGTTCCGAGTTGAATACTTTCAGAGCTGGAGCGTCGGTGTCCATTCGAAGGACATGACCAAGCCAGCGGAGCCGCTGCATTTTAATTCGCTGCACTATGTCCATGTCGTTGTAAAGCTCATACAGCTCATCGTTCCATCGTCTGCGGTACTCGCCGTCGCCAACGCGTAAAGGCCCGTGACTCTTCCGCAAAATCTTTCTCTCAAACACTACAAGAGTAGCCTCATCGGACGTTGTCATTGTCCATGCTTCTGCGCCATATACTAGCACGGGCATGATGAGTTACTTATAGAGCGTGGTTTTCGTACGTCGAGAATGGACTTTACTCCAAATCAGCACTTGTTGGCAAGAGTGATTCAGCGTTGGATTTCAATGCTGACATTATTATCGGTGTTAATGGTGGCTCCCAAGTAAACGAAATTCTCTACTTTCTCGAAATTGTAGCTGTCAACAGTGACATGGGTGCCAAGGCGCGAATGTGCTGATTGTTTGTTTGAGTACAGGAGATACTTCGTCTTGTCCTCGTTTACCACCAGACCCACTCGCTTTGCTTCGCTATCCAACTTGGAAAAGGCAGAACAGACTTCGCGGTTTTTTGTTACCGATGATATCGATGTCATCGGCATAAGCCAGCAATTGCACGCTCTTGTAGTAAATTGCTCCTGAGCGGTTCAGTTCTGCAGCTCTTATTATCTTCTCCAATATCAGATTAAAGAAGTCACATGAAAGGGAGTCGCCCTGTCTGAAACCCGGTTTTGTGGCGAACGGCTCGGAGAGGTCTTTCCCAATTCTGACGGAGCTGGTGGTATTGCTCAACGTCATTTTACACAGCCGTATGAGTTTTGAGGGGATGCCAAATTCAGACATAGCGGCGTATAGGCAACTCCTTTTAGTGCTGTCAAAAGCGGCTTTAAAGTCGACAAATAGGTGGTGATTTGGCGTTCTGCACAAGAGTTGATGCATGCACCTTATCAACTCCTCGCCGCCGTACTTGAATAGCTCAGCTGGCAGGCTGTCAGCTCCAGCGGCTTTGTTGTTTTTCAGCCGCGTTATTGCTATATGTACCTCGTCATAGTCAGGCGGTGGAACGTCGACTCCGTCATCATCGACTGCGGGCTCGGGTTCTTCTTCTCCACAACTTTCCGTGCTGCTACCATTTAGTAGGGCGGAAAAGTGTTCCCTCCATAACTTAAGTACGCTCTGGACATCGGTCACTAGGTCGCCATTATTGTTCTTACAGGAGTACGCCCCGGTCTTGAAACCTTCCGTATGTCGCCTAACTCTAAATTTTCGGGCATTCTTCCTGTCGGCCATCATTTCAAGCTCTTCGCACTCAAGTATTTCGGCCTCTCTCTTATTGCGAAAAAACCGCCTCGCTTCCCTCTTCAGATCCCTATAGCGGTCCCACATAACCCGCGTTGCGTCCGATCGTAGCGTGGCCCTGTAGGCGGCATCTTTTTTCTCTGCATCTTCCTGATACTCCTCATCGTACCAGTTCTTTCGGGCTCGCTTAAATCCGACTACTTCTTCGGCGGCGGTACTTAATGAGCGGGAAATGTAGTTCCACTGCTCGCATATTTCGGTTTGTTGAAGAGTGCTCTCTGAGAGCAGGTGGGAGAGTCGAGTAGCGAAAGCGCTGGCTGTCTGTTGTGATTGCATATAAGCTTTCCTTGCATATTTGGGCGCACATTTTTTGCTGCAAAGAGGCGGGTGCGTATCTTGGCTGCAACAAGATAGTGGTCCGAGTCGATGTTTGGGCCTCGGAGCGTGCATACGTCTAAAGCACTGGAAGCGTGCCTTCCGTCTATCACAACATGAACGATTTGGTTTCTCGTTTTTCGATCCGGAGACAGCCACGTAGCTTGATGGATCTTTTTATGCTTGAACCTAGTACTGCATACTACCATGTTTCGGGCCCCGGTCAAGTCGATGAGCCTCAATCCGTTGTCGGACGTTTCGTCGTGGAGGCTGGATTTTCTTACGGTGGTTCCAAAGATCCCTTTCTTGCCCACCCTGGCAGTGAAGTCGCCAAGCACGATTTTGATATCATGTCGGGGGCAGCGATCATACGTGCGCTCCAAGCGCTCATAGAAGAGATCCTTGGATGCCTCATCCTTCTGTTCCGTCGGGGCATGGGCGCAGATGAGCGAGATGTTGAAGAATCTCGCTTTAATGCGGATTGTGGCTAGACGCTCGTCCACCGGAGTGAACGACAGTACTCGGCGACGGAGTCTCTCTCCCACCACAAATCCAAC